TTTGCTCCCTTCTCTGCTTTCCTCCAGCCACAGTAAGCCCTATTCTTGCAGGAATCTTCCTGCAACGGGCCTCTAGTACTATATATAATAAAATAATTGTACAACATTTTAAAAACAATTTTAAAATTCAGTAAGAGCAGAAAGGCAAAACCAAAGGAGAAAAAGGAATTATAAGTAGTTGGATCACAAGGCCCTGTAGACTTCTGTAGCTGAACTGCAGATGGCCACAGTATTTTAGAAGTTTCTCACGTACTGTGGGGACTGATAAAGAGCCACCTAATGTGAACTAATACTGTAGTTTGCATGGTTACTACTGCTGCCACTTCAAAGTAATGTTGATTTTAGGAAGCATCTGAAAGTGATTTGAATAATGATAATGTTTGGCCATATTTCAAAAAGAGGCTTTCTCTACACCTTAGAATAGTTCTTGTCTTCAGTGTCATGTACAGGAAACAGTGGGCTCAGGATGTAGGAACAAACCACAGAATCAACTGTAGGAACAAACCACAGAATCAACACTGCTGCCATTCAACCCACTCAGTTTTTGGTGTTTGCTTTTTTTTTTGGGGGGGGGGGGGTTTGTTTTGGGTACTTTCCAAGAACTTTTCTCAGCCCTCATTTTGCCTGACACCTTCTTGCTTATTATCTGCATTTGTTGCTCAGTCTGACAACAGAGCCTAACCCCTAATTCTTAGGAGGCCTGCATGTATGTTTCCACTTGGTGTGCATTGATTAAACTGGGCTTGCATTAGCAAATAGGAGAACATTCGCACTGGTCACCCTTTAAAAAAATTTTACTCTTACTTATCAAAAACCAAAAATTTCAGAGATATTTATGGCAATTACTGATCGTGTACTCGAAAAATCAACAATAAACATATTTAAAAAGAAATTTTCTCTTTATTTATGGAAAGTTTTTTAAAAGCCTGTGGGAAATATGAACTTGCAAATGTGACTAACTAGCAATGTCACAATTTTCCTTCTTGCCTTGTAACACCTTTAGAGTGTGAATGATGCTACATTCTTACTTGTACCTGTAGAGTGTGAATGATGTTGCACTCCTAGTTGTACCTGGCCCAGAAGTTTTAGAAAGCATACTCCACATGCAGCTATTAAACTTTAATACATACTCTATTTTGTGCTACTTTGAAAAATGGAATGTACTACAGTTTTGAATTCTATGTCTCTTAAATGAATAAAAAACAGACAAACCAAAATTACTCTACCCAGCAAAGCTATCATTTATAATTGAAGGACAGATTAAAAGCTTCTCAGACAAGAAAAAGCTAAAGGAATTCAACAACACCAAGTTAGTATTATAAGAAATGTGAAAGGGACTTTTTTAGAAAGAAAAAAAATCAAAAATATGAAAAATAAAATGACAATAACTGCATACTTATCATATAATCTCTTTTAATGTAAATGGATTAAATGATCACATCAAAAGGCACAAGGTAGTTGAATAGATAAAATGACAAGACCCATACATATGCTGCCTACTAGAGACTTCTTTCAGATGGAAAGACACAAACAGACTGAAAGCAATTTAGGCATTGGATAACAGACAACAAAGGACTATCCTGAAAAGAAAGAAAAGAAGTGAGGTGAGCCTACATTCTTCTTGACCTTCTGCCTGGAGGCCCTTTCCCAATTGCAGTGCGAGGAAGCAGAGTCCTAGCTGAGAACAGTGCAAGTCAAGCAGAGAGCAGCAGGCTCCCTGAGTTGAGGAGCCAGAGAGTGGAGTTGGCTGTTGCTGAAGTGGCTGGAATTTTTTGCTGTTGTCATCATCTTGAGAAAGTTACTTTAATTCTCTGCACTTTAATTTCATCATTTACAAAATAGGGGTTATAATAGGTATCCTGTGTGGTCAGGGTAAAGATCCAATCTAATTTTATATATTGCACCTAATAGGTAAAAGGTGCTCACTAAATTGCAGGTGCCATCTTTCTCTACCTCTCCCTCATTATTATTTCTACTTTCTAGAGCATGTAATTGTAAAATCTGAAAGGTAAGATAAATAAATGGAATTTGG